AATATAGAGATACTGATAAATCTTGTAAAACAAATTCCCACTTAAAAAATGTTCAAACTCTGAGGTGGGGTCAATATTCAACAGGGTCAATTTTCAACTTGTTGAGGTCATCAGGGATACAAAAAATTATCAAGCTGTTGAAAAATGACCCCGGGTATAAATTCAACGTCTTTTGGTCTCAATTTTCAACGGTGAAAAAAAAACCCGGTTCAATATTCAACGTTGGAAAAAATGAACCTCGGATCAACTATCAACTCGGGTCAATATTCAACGTTACAGCGCCAGTCCATGTATGACGCGGTGCCATAAAATTAAAAACACTTCCAATTTAGGCCTTTCAACTAATTTTTCAAGTTGCACATATGGTAAAAAAAACATTGTTTAGATAGATTTATAGGTACATGAAATTATTAAAAAAGATAATAACTTATGCATACTTTTAATTACATCATTAAAAAGTTTTATCATTTATAATTGACTTTTCCGATGTTGTGTTTAAGGACAGGTAACTCAGGTGTGAAAAATGACCAACTTAGTGTCGATTTATGAGTTATCGTTTATAGGAATGACATGTAGACTGCTTCAGCATTGGTATTGTTATATACACAATAGGGTTCCTTACATTGTTTTGTACACAGAAAGTATTGACCAAGAGAAAGGGAATGCCTTCACTCTACCTGAAATAACAGTGTCAAATGAATGGGGAACAGACTATATTCAATAGTTTAACTCTGACCATTATTATGAAGAAGAAAGTTTAATGTCATGATTTTTGTGTTCGCGCTTTTTCGCTTCCTGTGTAAATATATATATTTTTACAAGTAAATGCAACAATTGATCATCTTATTTGTGTTACTAAGCACGTAGGGGAACGACCGAGTATAAAAATTTAATTAGGTTAGAACTGAGAAGGAGGGTAAATATCACTTTTTATTTTAATTAAAAATTTTAATTATATGCAGTAAACCGGTGTCCGCAACTATACAGTAAATAACTTTAACATTGGTGCTAAATTTTAAAACCACTGGGTTCTACTGAGTGCAAAGAAACACTTGGGAAATGCTAAAAACTGCCTTGCGTGTAAATAGTTAGATACCCTGAGCCTGCTCTAAACAAGTTTCAGCACTGAGTTATCGTTCATAACACCGACCCTTAGCGGCAGTTGAAAGGCCTATCCCATTTCAGTGACTCTGCATTAAGTAAGCGTTAGTCTCGTTCAACCAGACGCTCGGCTGTCTCCGTAAATCTCCGACAAGCAGAGAGTCTGGTAAAGAGTCACGTTGGCGACTGTTACCGACAGAGGGCGCTGTATTTTTTTCATTTTGGTTAATGGCGACTCCACTGAAAACAAACGTTTTATCAATTGTTCCCTCTGTTGAATTGTGTGTGTCCTGTTCTGCTTTATCCGTACAGAAATATTATATATTAAAAAGGTCAGGTGAGAAAGGACCTAGTTTTGAAATTGCAAGTGAAGTTTATAAGACTTCGTTTGTAAGCGAACAAAATTATGGATCTTACGTTTGCAAGGCATGTTACAGAATTTTGAAAAGGATAATAGACACAGGCGAAACACTTAGAAAACTTTTAACCAGTGTGAAAGTGAAGACACAAAGTTTGTATATCAAGAAAGTTGAGAAAAGAGTTATAGCAAGGACGCCAAACAGCAAGGAAAAGAGGATTTTTGTGTCTCCATGTTCTCAACCAACCAGTAAGATCATTTACGATAGTTTAATACATGTGTATATTATGATACGAACTGTATGCTTATTTAGTAGAGCGTGCCTTTATAAGAATGTTGAAATTTAGTGTGCAAATCACTCAGGTCATGTAGCATGTATACTACCCTAGACCTAACCATGCCAAGGTAATGTGAAAGTCTGGATATTCAAACCATTAGTTCACACAAAATTTTAAAACATTCCTTTTATTTACATCTAAAAAGAACACAAATACCAATGTGCATGATGTGTTTTAAATATGTCATAGCATACGTGAAAAAAGGTGTGTGATAAATGGTAGTGATAAATGCTAATGATATAAATTTAAGGGGAAAATAAACATAACACTCAAGTTATATAGTTCGATATAATGGCTATTGATAGGCAGACACCATAATTCTTTTATATTAAGTGATCGATAAAGCATATTTCTTTTAGGAAATGCTTTGGCACCTATACCATGTATACAGAATAAAACCAATATCATCAGTGATGAACATTCTTCACAAGCGTCTAGAGAAGCTGTTTCTGATCATGCTGATGGTCATTTTCAGAGAAAACAGGTAAGATCAATTTTGAAAAGTGAATTATTTGTGGGTAGTCAACATGTTCAACATTTTCATGTCTATTAGCATTTTAATATATTTAACTCTGACTGACAGGGCTAAAGTATCGATCTTCCAAGAACAAAGTCTTGTTTTAAAACCAGCAGGCTACAGATGCATCAAGAGAATATGTTTCTGAGGGTATTTATTCTCCATCTACATCACGGATACCAAGTAAGAATACATGTAATGTGTTAATTTGAAAAGTACATAATTATCATGTAATTTTAAATGTGTAAAAAGACAAAAATATACATCACTGACTTGCAGGACTGAAACTCCCAAGAGCAAAGTTTGCCTGTTTTCAAAACAAAATTCAGATATTGGCAACTCTTCAGAAGAATATGTTTCTGAGGGTCTTTATTCTCCATCTACATCACGGATACCAAGTAAGAATACATGTTATGTGGTAATTTGAAAATTACATAATTGTCATGTAATTTTAATTATGTAGAAAAATATATATACATCACTGACTTGCAGGACTGAAATGTCTGACTCCCAAGAGCAAAGTTTGCCTGTTTTCAAACCAAAATTTAGAGATTGGCAATGCGTCAGAGAAGGTTCATAAGTCAGAGCTAGTGATATTAGAAAGATTTACACAAACTGATCAACATCTTACTGCTGTACAACCTAATTATGAAGGAAATTCGAAGCGTCATGCATTGATTAAATATAGGACTAATAATCTGAAAAATTGCTTGACAACTGTAATGACAAAATTGTGCAATGGAAGTGTACAGTTTGCTGTTGAACTACTTCTGCATAATAAATCAGAACACATTAGAACACAGGCTCGAACAGGAATAAATTCTGTTATTCGTAAGGAGTGCTCACATTTGTGTAAACAAAAAAAGTCATCAATGAAAAAGAAACCTGCTGATTTGCATAATTTTGAATTCATGAAGCTTCAGGAAGAGTATGAAAAACAAATGCCTATAACATGGGGTATCCTGAAATCTGTTGCTGAGAACAAAAATAAAGAGTGCGATGTTGTAAAAATCACAACAGCTTGCTCTATATTGTTACACAGCAGGAATTTCTATCTGAATGCATTGCAGCATTGTATATCGATCTCTCTGTATAATAATCAGCTGCAGAAGGAAGGCTTTACGATTCTCTCAAAATTAGGGATAACCACCACTCATGTATCTTTGAACAATGCGTTAAATAAAGTAAAACACAAAGTTGACGAAACACTTTTAAACTGGAAAATCCAGGGAATCCCTGTGACCATAATTATGCACTAACTGAAGAAGTGGACACAAAAGAAGTCATCAGTGTTTGTGTATTGGACCATGACTATGTGCACAGAAACAATCAAGATTTGAACAAATATCCATGTGATAAACAAGACAGTGGATACAGATTTAACATCGACAATTTGGATTTCCTGTTACAGGTCCGAAATATGACTCAGGATCATCAAAATCTGTCAAAGCATTATGTACAGTTGATGGCCATTAAGGATCGTGTCCACTGTGAAGATCTTATAGATGACAGACCAATAGGAAATCTGTTCAGGGTCCCCAATTCAGACTTTTTGCCCAATGGGAAGGACATCTCAACACTCAGGGATGATATTATTACTGTTGTTAGTCATATTTTGTTGGAGAATATTCGTGCATTCTCCATATTCAAGGGTGTCCTCACACATGGGTTTGAGCATGAATATTCTGAAGAAATGAAGAAGAAGTCTGTTGTGGTATTCAAAGAAAATTTGAAAAGCTTGGCATTTTTGTATTGAATTGCTTATAATATATTTTGTTTCATGAATCGCAGCTATTGTAGCTTCATTTCTATAATAAAATCAAAGCAGGAATTATTGCAGAGTGTTATAATACCTGGTATTTTCAAATATTAGATAATTATTATATCTTTCTGTAAGAAATCAAAAATGTTACAAATAGCTGCACAATCTTATTTATACATGTTCAATGCATTTATCATGTTTATTTAAGAGTTAGTTGAAGATTGATTTTAAAGATTCAGTTGTATTGCAAATGCAAACTGGTAATGATAAAAAGCCTTTGTAATTGCAATTACTTCTGAACCAAAGCATTCATCAGATCACGGGATACAAGGCATGGTGTACTCCAGTTCTGAAACAGATCACAAAGGGCCAGTTTATATTGAGTGGTGGAACTAGATAAGTTATATTATCATAAATTCATTTTTGTCGTGATTAACTGAATCATTAATCAGCATCATTATTTCATCATCTGTACCACAACTCATGATTATCATTATTTACATTTTATTTGTTTTCATCTGGTACTTAGTAAATATTGATATAACAGTGTGGCAACTCTGTGTGACTGATAATAATTGATGTTATCATATTGCATTAATTAGATTAGAACTAGTATTTAGTAAGTAATAATACTAATATTATTTTGACTATTTTTGTACCAGTTCCCTTAATAGCATGAAAAATGCATGTTTCATTTTATTTTATCAATGGTATTCTCAATATTATGTATTCATCCCCTCTTCAATTATAGCATTGTTTAATGAAAGAATAATGGAAATATTTGTTAAAACAATGAACAAAAATTTTCATAATTTAAAGCTCAAAATTTGAATATGATAAAATAATGACTTCATTAAAAAAAATGACTTCATTAAGAAAAAAAGATTTTTTATGTGTTTTACAGTTACCCCTGGGAATCTTGGCCAAAAACGAAAATAAGATGAATGACATGATCGAGATCCTCAACCATCTTCAGAACTATGTGCCAAACGCAAGATCTGCAGAGGAAATAGGCAATGTGGATTTGAGGTAAACCAAAAAAAAATACTGAGGAGAAAATGTATGGAACAAAATTTAAAATACAGTTGTTTGCCTTTTGTGTGCATATATATAAAAATATAATTATCTTGCTTTATAAATTAGGGATGATACTAGTGCTGGAATGCGCCAAATTCCTGTTGGTGGTGACCAATTGACGTGTGAAAGAATCAGAGGAGCTCACATGGCACGTTGAGATGGGGATACACCTGAAGAAAGATTAGAAGGCTTATTTTGCATGGTTGAGGACTTTCATGAGAAAATGAATTTCTTACAGGTAATTTCTAAAGCCCTTATATTACATAAATAATTTATATATGTTCACATTTCACATTCTTGATGTTATCAGCTATGAAAGTATTCAGCCAATGAAATAGCATATTACAACTAGAATAGTAATTACTCTTTCGATAACTTTTGTACAGATACCAAAAATTAGCATACACATTTTTTTTTTGGCTAAGGATGACCTCTTTAAATACCCACTATCTCTTTTCTATTATTTAGTTGATTATGGACAAATACTTTAAGTCTGAAAGCTGCAGAGATGCTGCCACACTTTATCAACTGAAGAACCTTCTGAATCGCAGGAATGTCTCCAAAAATGTTTCCTCGAACTATCATGCTGCTAGTGACTTTGTTGATTTAGTAACAGAATGTCATGTAATTGCTGCATGTTTAGAGTACTGTGGGATGGAGAGTATTGAGATTCAATGCAAGAAAATACCAGTTGCACTACATATTGCAGACTCAAACATGAAAAGAAGATTATTACGCCAGTTGGTAGGCGAAGTTGTTGATACATATTTCCTGAATGCCATTACGATCAATGTTGACAGAATTGAAGACCCAGCATCAACGATGGATGAAGCCCCTATTGCACAAGATGACGCTGTTCATAATTATGCGACCAATTTTACAAAAATGGGACTTCTGCGAAAGGTTTCCGTTCATGCAACCAGATATGGAGATGGCAATAGAATGTTGCGCCACTGGAAATATGCCATGTTGCTCTACCACCAGGGACACAAAGTTAAATACCGCCTTGAGAGTTATCTATTGCTTGCTGGGGTGAATGCCTTACTAACTCCTAGACAAAGACAACAAGTTATCAGCAACAGATTTGTCAATCTACATGGTGGGGAAGGCCACAACCTTGAAGGTGATTATGTGATGGAACTTTTAAATCGCTATGCTAAATCTCGAATAAAGCTACTAGGACCAAATCACACAGAGTCCTGCGTGGAGCGTATAGGCAAAACAATGATGTTCTGTCATGATATACAAGATAAACTGGAAAAGCAAATTAATGTTGCACCACTATCCAGGGAACATACCCCTCAAAGTTTACAACGTGATAGAAATACCATCATTCAGCAGTTGATCAACTCACGTGTTTTTCAAGTCATTCCCGGCAGATCACATGAAACGTTCACAATGGAAAATGTTGACATCCTGAGCAATGTAAATGTACACGAATTGCATAAATGGATAACCGAAAAGAAGAGGGAGTATTCATTTGGAAAATATGCTTTCTAATGTAAGAAAAATGTGATCAAAAGCATGCTCATGTATTATAGTTACTGTATTGAAAAATTATGCAGACAATAGATATGTCTTTCATATGTGTGATTCATAATAAGAAATATTGATACCTGTTTAGATTTTAGCATGACAAGAAAAAAAAAAAAACCCAGAATTATTGTTTTCTTGTTGTAATTGAGTAAACTTTTTCTTATGAGAAATAAATTCAATGTAATAATTAAATTGAAGGTTTATTTTAATAGAAATACCTGTATGTTGTAGTTTCTGACACTAAATAACTGGTAGACACTTTGCTGTTCCATATAAAAAATAGTTTAGCATTGTGAATTGTTGATAAAAGAAATGTGTCCAAATCAGGTTCATGTATATTATTTTCAGATTCAGCTTTATCCTGCATTCAACTATTTGAAGTATAAAATATGTAAACGTTTTATCAGAAATTACACTTCCGTGATGAGCATGTTCAGATCTGAATTTTATTATAATCTGTTATAGTTGTGTCATAATAGGAACTTCTTGTAGAATATTATTTGATAAAAGTTCTTATTATGTCTACTATATGTAACAAACATCATATAAACTGACATTTCATTTTATGCAAAGATAGTTTTTTAACCTGAAATTAAATACTTGTACATGCTTCCCAAATGAGTTTTAAATTTTTTTCTGCCGTTTTTTCATCATAAACACATTCTCCATAAATATCCTCAATGTCAAACATGTAGTGCGCATTTGCGACAATGTTTTTTATCACTGTGTCACTTAGACCAGTCAATATTTCAGCTGGTAAGATAGTCGGTTCATAACATTCATTTTGGATTAAAGAGTTTCTCATTTCGTTTAAGGAAACTGTCAAAGTTTCTCTCATTTCATCGTTGATGGTTAGGTATGGCTTGTTATCATCATCTATATATTGGGAAGCAGCTGCCATAACAATGCTATCGTCCTCATTAGGAAAAAATGAATAAAAATCCACAGGACAGTGCAGACAATCACATGAGACAGCACAATTGTCACAGCAAAAGTGTTTGGGTGTTCCTTGGACAGCTTTCATATTTTCAGGTGAAAAATGAAGTATTAAGTAGTGTCTTCTACAAGATTTTATCTTGCAGTATTGTCTCATTTGATCATCAGTTGCTGTCACACTGACATCAATAGGGTGGTAGTACACGATGGATTGTGAAGGGCTGTTCTCGGCCTGCACGTCCACTTTCCTGCATGAAACCATTGACACTTTTTGGTGCACCCCAATGAATGACTTTGTGTATATCTTTTACATTGATGCCCATCCCAAAAGCATTGGTTGCAATCACTACACGAAGTTTACCATCAGTTTGTCGAAAATTTTCTGAAATAATTTGTTTGTTTTTATCTGGAGTAGAGTGGTGGAACATAGCATACAAACAATTTCGGGCTGAAGATTGTCCTAAGTAAGAATCATTGGCTCCAAGTTTTCTTCTGAAAAGGGAGTAAATAATGGAACATGTCTTGATGTTTCTACAATAGATAATGACTTTTGGGGTTTCACTTTTTCTCAATTTAAGTTCATCAATAAGCCATTGGAAATTTTCCTCTATATCATAAGTTGCTTTTTTTGCAAAATACATGATATTTTCCCTATTGCAGCAACCGATAACTGTATGGTATGAGTTCATTCCCAACATTTTGGATATCTTTACTCTAGAATCTTGGATTGCAGTAGCTGTCAAAGCAACCATCACAGCTTCTGGTAAAATGCTCCTTAGCTCATTAATCCTGCTGTAGTCTGTTCTAAATTCATCTCCCCTGTTTGTAAGAAATAAAATATATACTTTTTGGAAACATGAAATATGGAAATAACAAATAGTATTCTAGATCTGAAGTCCATTGATTTTTTTTTTTGGCATAATTTAGTCAATTCTTAATGAATTTTATATTTTTCTATTTGCTTTTTAAAAGAAAAGTTTATATATTTTTTTCAGATAAAAAACATTTCAAATTGATACGACTAGTAAGGTTTATTCACATTTTAATTCTGCTTCTCTCTTGTATTGGGCTTGGATGAACATCATTTTATAAGTAAATCATATAATAAAACAAGATACAAAACATACACTACACTAAGTGGACTGCACCTCATAAAATTCACTTGATCATAAAATCTTTTACACCAGTATACACCAAGTTAAATCAAGTATGCCAATAGTTGACTACACACAAATCTCAGCATTACTTTATGAATATCAGAATAACATTCATTTAACAGCCTCCTCTCAACCTGTTCTCAGTTAACATAGTTAAATTCGGATAATATTATATTTTAATTAAGTAATCACCATTGCTCCACACAGTGAGCCTCGTCCACCACTATAGCTGACACCAATCTTCTGAGAATATCAGTCTCCAGAACTTGTCTCCAGGATCCTAAGAACAGACTCTCTGGGCTCATCAACAGAATTTGGGTTTTCCCATGTTTTATATTCCTCAGCTCTCCTTAATTAAAGAAACCAGTTGTTTACAAGTCTAACATAATTAGAACTTCCTTAATTACAAGAATACTAATTTTTTATTTTGTTGATTTTTGTTTATGGCGAAAAAGATCAATAATCAATGATATTGACAGGTGAGTAAATGCAGCATTATTTGTTGTTGAGAGTTACATATTACAGAGATATATAGGTATAGATACCTTCCTCCTGCTTCTCTCCAATATATGCACAGTCAACCCCTAATGATTTTATATTGATAACCTGGTCCTTCATCAGAGATATCAATGGCGAAATAACAATCACAACGGAAGAAATAAGTTCTTCACCGGTTGAGCATCGTACTTTCACTTTAGATTATTATAATAATTTAGGGAGGACGGTGTACAGCACACTTTTCCCGTAGCCAGTTGGCAACACTGCAAATAAGTCTTTTCCTTCTGCCACAGCTTTCAGACATTAAACTTGTAAATCTTTAAGTTTAAAAGGTAATTTTAATGCGGCTACAACATCGTCTGTCAACTTCTCGAGATTCATTTTGGAGGTGTGTTTTTTTCAGCCAATCAAAAACTTTACCAGAATTTTGGTAAGCCTCGTTTTGGCGTTACAAACGATATTACGTATCTTTACCAGACTCTCTGCTTGTCGGAGATTTCCGGAGACAGCCGAGCGTCTGGTTGAACGAGACTAAGTAAGCGTGAGTGTACAATTACCAACCAGGGCCCTATATACCCTCTACAATTTACATGTACAATAGTATATAGAAACGCTCCTGGATAAGGATAGTCTAAAAGGTATTCTTTGTTATCTGTTTGTCATGAAATAATCGTAACCATTATCCACATCTTTTAAGTTGTTTTGTTTGCACATATATATTTGAACCCGCCTTTTTAGCTCACCTGAGCCGAAGGCTCAAGTGAGCTTTTCTGATCACATTGTGTCCGTCGTCCGTCCGTCCGTCCGTCTGTCCAGCCGTCCGTCTGTCCGTCCGTCCGTCTGTCCGTCCGTAAACTTTTCACATTTTCGACTTCTTCTCAAGAACCACTGGGCCAATTTTGACCAAACTTAGTACAAAGCATCCTTGGGTAAAGGGGAATTTAAATTGTTAAAATGAAGGGACATATCCCCTCGCAAGGGGAGATAATCAAGAAAAGACAAAAATAGGGTGGGGTCATTAAAAAATCTTCTTCTCAAGAACCACTGGGCCAGAAAAGCTGAAACTTATGTGGAAGCATCCTGGGGTAATGTAGATTCTAAATTGTTCAAATCATAACCCCCGGGGATTGGGCTGGGACACAATGGGGCATCAAAGTTTTACATAGAAATATATTGGAAAAATCTTTGAAAATCTTCTTCTCAAGAACCACTGTGCCAGAAAAACTGAAACTTATGTGGAAACATCCTAGGGTAGTGTAGATTCTAAATTGTTCAAATCATAACCCCCGGGGATTGGGCGGGGCCACAATGGGGAATCAAAGTTTTACATAGAAATATGTAGGAAACATCTTTAAAAATCTTCTTCTCAAGAACCACTGCGCCAGAAAAGCTGAAACTTATGTGGAAGCATCCTGGGTTAGTGTAAATTCTAAATTGTTCAAATCATGACCCCCGGGGGTTGGGCAGGGCCACAATGGGGAATCAAAGTTTTACATAGAAATATATAGGAAACATCTTAGAAAATCTTCTCAAGAACCACTGTGCCAGAAAAGCTGAAACTTATGTGGAAGCATCCTTGAATAGTGAAGATTTTAAATTATACAAATCATGACCCCCGGGATTGGGCGGGGCCACAATGGGGAATCTAAGTTTTACGTAGAAATATAGGAAAAATCTTTGAAAATTTTCTTCTTAATAGCAACTGGGCCAGAAAAGCTGAAACTTATATTGGAGAATCCTGGGGTAGTGTAGATTTCAAATTGTCTAAATTATTAACAGTGGGGTAGGGTGGGGTCACAATATGTATTACAAGGGGTAAATCTAGTAAAGGACAGAATTGTCAAAGCTTCTCAGGTGAGCGATGTGGCCCATGGGCCTCTTGTTTTCAAGATGGAGTCAAAAAGCCACATCTTTGGTTTTCGATTTATATACACGAGAAGAATGCTTGTGCCTATTTTGTTAAGTTATTATATAAAACACGCAATATGTAAATAAATTCATTGTTAATAACATGGAAAAACTTATCTTCTCGGATTTTTATTTGTATTGCTTTATGCGCTCATAAATAGGTCATTGGCTTTTTTTTCTTGTTCAGATCAGTTGTTGACACTGAGCAGACGATTACAAAAACCTTGCATAGTGAGACATTTTATAATCAGTTTCACTGTTGTCCAATCTTTGCATCAAGTTCCTTGGATCTTTTCATTTAGTTACTTTAATGCAAAGATCTAATGGTTGAAATAAGTTAACTACAATTGCCAAACCAGAAGTAATTTTGGAATTTTGGACTTTTTTATTGTTTTCTATTTAAATGTTAGAAACCTGTTTTCTATTATAGTGGAAAAATCCCATCTGCACTTTTATTCCATATATATATTATGTTAAACACATAATTATTTACAATGTGAAACAGTGAAATGTGTAGTCTACATTTGCATTTGTCCGATGGGCGCTAATGGGATTTCTACAGATGGCCCGATAAAAAAAAGATTGAAATGAACTCGAAAGGCAATGCACATAATTATGAATGAAACACAGAAACACGTAACGTAAGTTAAGGTCACGGAGTAAAAAAGCATTCATATCTTCAATGCAGAGCGCATTAATTTTCCGTTTGACTGAGTCTAAAAACTTTTTCAATTAAATTCCCCATCAGTGACTTACAGATTTTAAAATCGTTTGTTTATTATAGAACCCTTAGCTTCTTGTATTGTATTACAGTTTCTCTAACGTACTCATTTTAAGCTCACCTGAACCGAACGCTCAAGTGGGATTTTATGATAAAAATTTCTTCGTTGTCTGTAGTCGTTGTTAACATTTCACAATTTCATTTTCTTCTTTAGAACCACTGGGCCGAGTTAAAAAAAATTCCCAAAAAGTATCCTTGGGCAAAAAGAATTCCAGTTCGTTCAAATGAAGGGCCACGCGCCCACGCCTTTTACAGGGAGATAATTAAGCTTTTATGAAAAAAATCATTGCCACTAGTATCACTTAAAAATTTTCTTCTCAGGAACCACTATGCTTGAAAACATTAACCTTATGTGGAATCACTGTCAGGTATTGTGCAATAAGATTCCTTCATATCATGCCCCCTGGGGTAGGGTGAGGCCACAATGGGGGTCCAAATTTTACATACGAATACATAGGGAAAATTTTAAGAAATCTTCTTCTCAAAAACAGCAAAACCAAGATTAGTCATATTCATAATTATGGAATCACTTTCAGGTAGTGTAGATTCAGGTTTATTCAGAACATGACCGCTGGGGTAGGGTGGGGCCATATTGAGAGATCAAAGATTTACATAGGAAAAAATCCTTTTAAAATTTTCTTCTCAAAAACAGCAAAGCCAGGATTAGTCATATTAATATCGAAGCAATCTTAGGTAATGTAGATTCAAGTTTGTTCAAATCATAACTCCCGGAGGGAGGGCGGGATCACAATGGGTGATAAAAGTTAAAAAGAATAAACTGGGAAAATCTTTTGAAATCTTCTTGTAAAGAACATTAAACCAGGATTAGTAATATTTCTATGAAAGCAATTTCAGGTAGTGTAATAATTTTGTTCAAATCGTGGCCGCCGGGGCATGAAGCGGAACCACAATGGGCGATCAAAGTTTCACATAAGAAGAATCTTTAAATATCTTCTTCTCAAGAACAGCAATGATGTGATTGTTCACATTTACTCTAAAAATACTGAATTGATTAATTTTTCTGCTTTTTTTCTAGTCAGTTTCAAGAAAACTTGTTAAATAGTATTCCTGTCCTAGCATTTTCTCTCCAGAAAAAAATATTAGAAGCTTACGAAAAAAGGACTTTCTTTCATATGATGTAGAAACCTAGGGTCATGGTCATGATTTTTAGTAAAAGGTCATTTGGAGAGAAAAAAATTGTAATAGCCCGTGCATATACATGTACATGTATTAGAAACCTGAGATTCAACAATAAAAACATATAGTAAAATGGAATGGGTAAGTCAGTTTTGTGAGCATGCTAGTTGAACCTGTTGTCCTATATAAAGGGCACCAAAAGAGAGAATTTTTTTTTGATTTGCAGAAAAATATTTATTGATCAGAAACATTAACTTGCATAAAACTAGTAGTCATTATTGTTAACTTAAATCACGATTTCCTTATTAACATTGAATTCACAGTTGCCTTTGTCTTTTTTGATATTATTAGGGAAGTGATGTCTTCTATATACTCTCCTCTACTTAAATGTGGGGTATGTGCTGATTTAAGTATTCTCCACTCGCACTGGAAACAATGTGGGAATCTATGTGAAAATTGTTCAGGACTTCACAGCAAAGGGAATGCCTTCAAAAATCATAATGTGGTGCCCTTAACTTTTTCAGATGGAATGGAGACGTCTTCAATCAAAGTATGTTAATTCATAAACGGATATTTGCGATTGAAAATTACTATTATTATTTCCAAGCTAAAATCATTTTCAAACGTTAATTAATTTGTATTGTCAGTTAAGATATATTATACTAAACTGCTTTATTTTTTTTTATCATGAAAATGTAAAATAAAAGGAAATATTTTCAAAAACGATCACGTAAAACCTCAAGATACCTTTGAGTATTGAGTCAATAAGGTGTGTTTGTTTTCAGTATCTTTAACAAAATGAGTGTCATTTTTTTCCTCATGTAAGTTTTTCTTTTAGCATTAAAGGTAATCCTGAAAATATAATCGACTGACAGATATATATTACATGTACATGTTTTTATAATTTTACTGTTTCTTTTTTTTTTGTAATAAGGTGGAACCGTCCACACAATTAGATAACCTTGATAGTACCCCCACCGCCAAATGTACAACTACGGCTGCAACAAACGCCCCAAAACCTGCGTATTCTCCATCTTCTTCTTCAAATGCCCCAACACGTGATTATGCTTCATCGACTTCAACAAATGCTCCAACATCTCATAATGTGCCACCCACTTCAACAAATGCTCCAACATCTCATAATGTGCCATCTACTCCGTCAAATGCACCCAGTACACCAAAGAAAAAAGGTGTAAAACGGAAACCTGCTTCCGTTTCAATGAAGGGAATGAAGAAAGTTGCTTGTCCTAAACATAAATCTAACACAGTGAATTTATGCTGTCAGGATTGCAATCAAGCAATATGTTCACAGTGTTTGACAGCTGCCCATACTGGACATAGAATTGGAGATATAACCGATTTTTTCGGGAAGAAAAGAGCTATGATAGAAAGTGATTTAGATCTCATCCAGAGTCATATCCAACAAAGGGAGAAAGCAAAGCAACAAATGGTCGAAGATTTAGAAAAGATGGAACAAGCTTCAGAAAGCGTGGTGAAGGAAGTTAAAGATTTTGCTGACAAGGTGCGATCAACCATTCTAAAGAAAGCAGAAGACTTGAAAGCAAGTACTAAAGAAACAAAAAAGAATATTGTTTCAAGAAATGGCGAGTTTGTCAAAGAAATCAAAAAACTAGAAACATTGCGTAAAAAATGTCAGGATGAGCTGAATGCTAAAGATTTAGCAGTGGTCCTGTTCAGAAAAGAATCGGCATTCTCGCTTGATACCTACGAAAATCTCCCAAGTTCGTTAAAAATTACACCTGCAGCGTTTTTTCCAGCGGAATTGGACCAAGACATGAAAACTTTTGGAACCATTGTTTCTACAAATATTCAAGAGAAACCTATTACGTTTGGGCCACCATCTACCCCAATAAAAATGCCAGGGAAAAAGAAGAAACTGACAGCTCAAAGCAGTACGTCATTGCCTGCCCCGACTGCCACATCTGCCTCTGCTCAAGATCATGAAATATTGAGAGACGCAGTGAGTAAAATTGGTAAAGAGCTTGGAATGAACATTGTTCAACAATGAAGAAGACAAATGGGAATTTTTTTCCATATTAAAGGAGTTTGGTGGATAAAGAAAAATCCTTTATCCCAGTTCTCTCTTATCAAAAACGTGGTAAGCAGATTGTTCAAAAATGATGAAAACAAATGGTACTGAATAATTGGAGCATCTTGGAGGGATCAGAAAAATCCTGTTCTCCCTCACCGTATTGATAATCATACAGTGTACACTTGCCCGCAGTAGAAAAAATTATCTTGAAAACGATGAATGTGTAATATGACATATGTATCACAATAAGTAGGCAGAATTGAGAGAGGGGGAGGTGGTGAAGTTTTGAAAGAAAAAGAGAGAGAAAGTGAGATTTTGGAAAGTTTTGGAATAATTATATTTGTTTTACATTCTTACTGCCAGAAAATATGTTCTCTTTTGGGGGAGGGAGGGGGTGTATGTCTAGTTGCTCCATTTAACTACATGTATATTAATTTGTGTTTGACTCTGTTGACTTACATACTGAACTTTATAATAGAATTAGGAAGAATAGTATCAATATTTATGTGACTTTATATTCACCCGCTGATGATTAATGAAGGAAGTTTGTATTTCATATTATACTTACATATAAAAGATATTTTCATGTAATAAATCTATAGCTTCAAATAAAGTTTCATTATACTTGATTATTTGTAAAGGGTTTTTGCAGAGAAAAAAATTGAATTTACTCCATGGCATAAAATAATTAAACTTGCAATCGCAGTGTCAGTTATTGATACTTTCTGCTTAATTAGTGATAGTGATTTATTTTCCAAGTTCTGTTCAATCTGTTGTTAATGAAAACAAAATATTTGGGAATTACATGTATAATATATCATAAATCCACTTTAGACTACTTATTTAAAGCATTGTTTTTAAATATTGTGTCTGAAGGAAAGTATGTAGACTGATTGATAAAAAAAAATCTATAACTGCAGCCTTGAAAATAAAAATAATTAAAATGCAAGATTAACTTAAAAAACTTTATGATTGTCTATGTAAATCAGTGAATTTAATAAGTAATATGAATTAAAATTTTATTGAAGCAGCTTTACTTTTCATGGTTTATCAATTATCATTTGTTTCCAATAACAACATAATACTTACATGTACCTTTTTTGATAAACAAAAAATAAATAATTCATTCATTTCTTGGATTATATTAAGGGGGTTTTTCCTATAAAGTTCTAAAAGATGATAAGTTCCTTACTATGAAATGGCCTAACAGTAGAAATATGATACGTTTCTTACTATGAAATGGTCTAACAGTTGAAAGATGATATGTTTCTTACTAGGAAATGGATTAACAGTATAAAGGTGATATTTTCTTATTCTGAAATGGCCTAAATTACAGTAGAGATGATACCTTTCTTACTCTGAAATGACCTAACGTACGGAGTATTTGTTGGTATGTCAGTAATAGTAATAAGAAATAAGCAAATAAATCGCCAAATTTTGCACCTGTTGAAGAAACCCGCTATAATGTGCATATCCTTTTCAGAATACTGCATTTACCAGTTTTAAATCCTAGTACCTTCATATGTTCTTAAGCAAAAAAATAATTCAAGCATATATTACGATAGACTAGTTATAGTGGCATATTTCGGCCCCTACATGTAAGATAAATTATGTTAACATGAAACATAATTATGTAGACATGCAACATATTTATGTCAACATGCAAGTTAATTATGTTGACATGTAAGTTACCAATCTTTTAAGAAAATAGAAATTAAATATGGGCATGGTTATTTATTAACAACTGTATCTGACATTTTAAATGGACTTATTTTTGTCAACATGCAAGATAATAATGTCAACATATAAATAAATAATGTTAACATGCAAGATAATTATGTTAACATGCAAGATAATTATGTTGACATGCAAGATATTTATGTTCACATGCAAGATAATTATGTTTGCATGCTACTTATTTATGTCAACATGCGAGTTATATTTTGCCTACAAGATAATAAGTTGCAAATTTCATACATATCTTGCATGTTGACATAATTATCTTACATGTAAACATAAATAACTCGCAAGTTGATATAATTATCTTGCATGTTGATATAATTATCTTGCATGTTGACATGAATAAGTCGCATGTCTGCAAAATTCTGTTGCATCTTGCATTTTAAATGTCAGATGCAGACGGTAGTGAGTAAATTTCCCCATATTTAATTTATATTTTCTAAAAAGATTGGTAACTAGCATGTCAACATAATTAAATTGCTTGTTGACATAGATATGTTGCATGTCTACATAATTATGCTGCATGTTAACATAATTTATCTCGTGTAGGGGCAGAAATATGCCATCATAACTAGTTGTTAAATTCCTCCTGTTTTACATTATTAAAAAATTAAAAAAAAAAAATTCTCATTTTTTTTCTCAGATTTCAAAATAGTGTTCAAAACAATGTTGCAATGTAGTTCTGTATTTGTCTTTAAGGTGAAGAACAATAACTCTTCATGTACATTTCAACATGCAGTGTACATGTAAATATGATATAAAACCATCATTTCCCAAACAAAGTTCCATTCTTTTATACAACAAAATTTTCTACAAACTAGGTAATAATAGGTTTATAAAACTAATTTTCTGATAAAACAAATTGCATAAAACTGGAAAAATATGTTTATAAGTCGTACGAAAACCTTCAAGCCCCATACCAAAAAAAGGTACAGATTAGGCATGCCTATTCTTGATAAATATAGGCACAAAAAAGGTATACCTAAAGTATACAAGTTTGGAACCACTTCTTCAAGTATAGGTAGCAAATTGGTACAAAAAAGGCATACTAAAGGTATACTTTTCAATGATTCTCTTTTTTTTTTATTTCACATATAGGTACATTTTAGGCACACATAAAACATTAGATTGAGCAGTGAGGCATACCTAAAGTATGCCTATACATAGTATGGCATATAATTCTAACAGTCAGATAGGTACATTTTAGGTATACCTAAAAGGTGCCTACACATCAATCTATTAGGTACCTTCAAGGCTGTGCCAAAAGTATGCCAGAGGTATACCAAAAGTATACCTACAAGGTACCTATATTGTACCAAAACCATTAATAGGCACATTTTAGGTACTAAAAAAGCACAATATTGGCACATCATCTAACTATACCAGTAAGTACATTCCAGGCATACCTAAAAAGTGCCTACATATCAATCTATTAGGTACCTTCTAGGCTGTGCCAAAAGTATGCCAGAGGTATACCAAAAGGATACCTACAAGGTACCTATATTGTACCAAAACCATTAATAGGCACATTTTAGGTACTAAAAAAGCACAATATTGGCACACCATCTAACTAGACCAGTAGGTACATTCCAGGCATACCTAAAAAGTGCCCACATATCAATCTATTAGGTACCTTCAAGGCTGTGCCAAAAGTATGCCAGAGGTATACCAAAAGGATACCTACAAGGTACCTATATTGTACCAAAATCATTTAATAGGCACATTTTAGGTACTAAAAAAGCACAATATTGGCACACCGCATAACTAAACAAAAAGGTACATTTTAGGCATATCAAAAAATTGGCTTTTGTCGACAAATCAACCACAAAACCCTGGAGTTAAAAATTTCTTTCTCCATCAAAAATTTTTTAATTTTTGGCCTAACATGAAAAATACATACTTATCATTCCTTGTGAATGGGGCAGGACTATATTAAGGAAGAATTTAACAATAATTATCAGGTTCAAGTAAAAACAAGTAAAAATTTATTATATGATGCTACATGAAAAATATGATGCTATATGAAAAATAACTATTTTAAATCCTCTCTATAAACGGAATCTATATATGACAAATCTCCTATATTTAAAAAAAAAATTAATATTGTTACCTTTAACAAAATAATGATATTTGTAATGTCATTCTTTGCAAGAAAAAAATAAACACACCTTTTCAGCATATACAAAACATAATTAATGCAATGTAAATACACAAAGACACCGTAAAGGTATTGAAAGTATACTCCATTTCATGTCGTTTTTTTTTTGCCACACATTATTCACTTGCTGCATGTGCAATTCATGTAATCTTCATTACTTTCATAGAGTTTTTACCCAATTGGCACCACAGAATTTTCTGCACAGTAATAGACCTTTTACCAGGGTAAATACTCATTTCTGTACAGTTGCGATTTTCATCTGGACTCCTTATAAAAATTGATCCTCCATTTGAATGTACCACGCAATTCCTTCTTTCATGCCATTCCCTTCAATTCTGAAAAAGTTGTTGCTCTTGAGTCTTCACTTTGAAATTATTTTCAAAAATATTAAATCCAATGTGTGAATCTATAGGGGAGGGGTCCGGGGAGTCTGGAACTTCCTTCCTACTTGCATTATGTATATATTATGTAATTCAATGTATATATACTTAATCAATTAAAAGTGATTTGGACACTCCCCCCCCCCTTACCCTGTTACGATCTGCATCTGAAATTCCTAAAATTTACAATGGAGTTTGAAAAGTGGTGATTAATTTTACTATATTACTATATTTATACTTTTTTTCAAAACTAGGTAATAGTAGGTTTATAAAGCTAATTTTCTGATAAAACAAATTGCATAAAACTGGAAAAATATGTTTATAAGTCGTACGAAAACCTTCAAGCTATATAAATTGAACATATAGAGGGGAAGCTCATTTCATAACTTCACGTTATTTTAGTGGTAGGATGTTTGTTTTGTTTTTGAGAGACCGAAGTAACCCAAGTTACAATTTTGCAAATCTTGATTTCAATTTTAAAATATTTAACTGAAATCAATAAAAAGGGTGAATAAGGTGTACAGGATACCTAATGCTTCTGATACTAGTATATAAAATCATATTTTGTTTGTGAATTAAACATGAATTATTTAAAAGGGCATGGACACAGTTTCAACTAAAATTTCAAAATTTATTTTTCCATTTTTACAATTTTTTTATTTTTACAAATATTTAACTAGGGTCTTTCTTAGATCATCAAAAATATGAACGCCAGTTGTCCAAATACAAGACAGATTTAGAGCTCCAAACCTTTGTTATGTAAACAATGCTAGTGCCATGTTTTTGTTTACACGGGTTAATAAACTATATGTTCGCTGAAAGTCGATAATTTCCAATAAAATTTAATTTTAAATACAATTTGACAGTTACTATTGATTTGCTGAACTTCATTTTGTTATAAATATGATATTTTCTATATGTAGATGTAAACAAAAACAAGGCACGAGCCTTGTTTACATTATGAAGAACTTTAAGTTCTGTATCTTGTATGTTTATTAATCAACAAATAAATTAAGTTCAATTTTTGGCTAATCAATAGATGATGCCTTAGGTAGGAATTTTAAACATTAAAATTGGTTTTAAAAAATCAGTTGAAACCGTGTCCAGGCCCCTTTAATGTAAAGTTATCATTATTGAAATGTATGAGATTATGAAAAACATAATTTTTTCGTGAAAATTTTCTTGATAAAATTGTTGTTCTATTTAAAAAAAAATAATTTGATATTCGTGGGTTGAGTACGAACGCAAGCAATAAAAATCCCGAGTATCATTTTCCTTTGAAACTTACACTCTAACCAGTCTAGGCTACACTTTCTGGCATTTAAATCATGTTTGTGATATGACCATTGGC